GCTTTTACTACACCCAGGGTAGGGCTTCGAAGCGGAGGAGGAGCCATCAGCGTCACTGCAAACACCTCCCTGCATGGCCCACTTCAAATGGAGTGTCATTTTGTCAACTATAACCAACACAGGGCCACAGGGTAAATGCAAGAAACAGATGGAGGCTAGTGGGGGGGAGAAAGGAGGAGAGTGTAGAACCAGAAGAGGGGGAGGGAAACTTCACAAACAGAAAGGAAAAAGAGGGTGTTCAGACTGATCCAGTAAAAACACAACTCCCTGCTGTGCTTAATGCAAGCGGCTGCATGGGTGAGGGGTTGCAGGGGGAGTGTTGTAGGTATGTACAATACAGCCACGTTGTGACGAGTCAACCTGAGTGGCTTCATTCACGTTTCTGGTCAAGGAGATTCCACTGTGTTTTGGTTAGCCATGCTGCTAATGTAGCCTATTCTAAGGTAGCACCAATTTCCTCCACCAGTGTGTCGGCATTGATAGATAAAAAACACTGTTTAACATCCAGTACTAACGAAAATGCATGGCCTGTCATTATGGCTTTAACTTCAACCGTGAATAGCAGTGAATGCTCATGCTAACAATGTAAACAAAATAGTCTTCTTCCTGTGGGCATCCACATCCCGATCATCCCCTGTACTGTACTTGATTGGTTAACGCAGTGCCTGTACTGGATGATGTCACCATCCAGTGGGATGATAGTTTAACCAATTCCAACTTTTTTTGCTGCACAGGGTTGTGTTATTTTGAATGGGAAGAGCTACATTTTAAACTCAGTCTGAACACAGCCTAACTGTGTGACAAATAACCATTAAATAGATTATTTGAAGTTATACAACATTCAGCAAACAAGATGGAATTCTTCTTCATTTGATGCCAAGAGAAACAACCTAATATACTTGACACCAGAATTTTGAACTTCATAAGTCCTAAGCTGTGAAAACCCTCCGCCTGAAAGTCAGCAACACAATTCTACAGGGTGCATGTCGCATTATCAAATTTCTTGTTAGGTGTAGACACCGTGCTGTACGCAGCAAAGAAAACGTGCAGAGGCTCACAAGACCTCGATCTCATGTGTTAAGAATCACAGATCCACCTGCCCACCCCACTCACTCACTGTCTCCCACACTGAAGCAACGCTACGTTTCCCTGCAGAAGTCCTGACTGAGTACAGGGTCTGCATGGAAACATCATTAAAGAGCATTTTTATGTCTCAGTCTATCAATGTATACTCAGCCACAGTTTCAATACAAAGCTGTGATTCAAGGCAAACTGCTAGCATTAGCAATTCAACAAAGCAATGACTTCTGCAAAATCAGTACTGTTACAACATGGAATATTATTTGGACTGGATCAAAAGAATTCCAAGTGCTGACTCCCTGCTGTTGACACCTACACCACATTCTCCTAGATCCTGGTTCAGCTAAGAGGAGGCTCATAGTACAGTGTCTATAAAGAACTGTCTCACCAGGTATGCCATACATTATAGCTTTTAATGATAAGAGAATTGACCTAAGAGATTAGCTTCTGTCTTTATGTGAAAGTGCCATGAAGTCAAGTTTTGAAACTCCTATTCACAGCGTTAAGACCTGTAATGCATCTTCTTTACAGAATGCTTTAGATTTGTGATGAGGAACAATTGGGGAAAGATTTTAAATCATTTTAATCATTTATCATTTTTAGAGTATATTCTTTTAAGTAAAATAACTTTCACACATGAATACATGTGGTAAATGCTCTGGTAACTTTGGGACCTCATAACATTTTTTCCACAATTTGAACAAAAGCTGTGGAATTAAGAAATTAGGCATTAACTTGAAATTACACTTTTATCACTGTTATCTCACTATATTTATATTTTACACACAAATAAAAAATACCATCATATGTTTAGGATTTGTTCTGACACTTACTGAAAGCTGCCACTGGTTTTGTGCAGGCCAACAGTATTAAAGCACACATTTCAAAAACTGTTAAAGAGCGATGATTGATGACAACATGTATTTAAGGTGCAGTTAAAGTTTATAGTACACTAAATGGCTTAAACTTTAAAACTAAATTAAACTATATATTACAATTTAATTATACAACAGATTTTGGATATACTTACACAAAACATACACAGTAAAACAAACAAATAAATACTGATAGAAACACCTTTTACTCTTTTTCCCTCAAAGCTATAAAAGCCATTAGGCACCCAGGCTTAAATTATTTATGCAAACTGAACTCCACTAACGCCAGATTGTTCTAAAACATTCAGCCCTTTGAGCAGTGGCTCCTGTTCCAACCCGGCCCAAGACTTCACATGCCACTGTTGTTGGCAAGAGAAGCATGAAAGTTCCAGGAACAAAGTAATGAATGATTGTGTTTGTGGCAATAATGCATGGTAATTGCACTGTAATAATACTGTGGTTTTAAATGCTAAATACTAAAACTGCCCAAAGCATATGAACCCCACCTTATAAACGGCATGGCTGTTTTGCTGCAGCATCAACATGCACTCAAAAACAAACATAGATTCAGGTGTTTTTCCATCAATACCAATACCAGAAAATGACCTGTAGACACAATGCCTGCTGTGGGAGGGATCCTATAATAGGTTGTTTATTACAAATTTGGGCACATGTCAAGGTTTAGCAACTGTGACACCATGTGGGTTCAACATGTAAAGCTGGTAACCACCCCACACTCTTGTACTACATTTGAGCACGTCACCTCAGACTAGAACATTCAAAGAAGGACCAACACCTCTCTCAGCGCTGCCTCACCATGTAATGCCACAGCTGCCCTTCATGCAAAGTTGAGATATCACAGATACCACATGGCAGAAAACAAAGCAATGGTAGACTTTAGACCTGAGTTTGGTGGGAATCATTACCTAAGACTACCTCAAGTTCGATGTTTGCCTTCTCTTCACCAGCATGCCAATAAATCCTCATACCAAAAGCACATTTTTCTAAGAATCCAAACCAGCATGTGCAGTTGTGGCTTGTTTGCACGATAAACAGCTGAAATGCATGCTGTAATGTGACCTTTACATGAGAACATTTACATGAGAACTGCTGCATACTAAAATGAGGGAGACAGAGAAAGGAAAGTATGATTTCACCGAGCAGCTACATGTCCCTGATAAAAGGATTGTAGTGGTTTTTTCCCCCAAAACAATGAGCAACTAAAGAAATATTGTAATGAAAATCTTGCCACAACACAGTATTACAACGGGCACGCTAATGTGTTAAAATTCAAGAGCGCAAGAATTCTGGGCTGTATTCAATAGACAGATGCATTACTGCTCCAAGTGTCTGGATCATGGGTGGAGGAGATTATTTCCCTATTTCTTGATGGGCTCCAGCTCATCAAACACGCTGCCTTTGTGGAAATCACTGCTAATCAAAGAGGCTTAAGGCTCTTCTGAAGCAATTCCAAAGGATTTCCCTGCTTGACAACAACAGCAGTGTTTACAGCAAAAATATAAAACAAGCGTGACTTGCAACATTTTTCCCCAGCTTTTACAATCCACACTTGTCACCAAACTGTCACACTGTAATGCTTTCAACTCAGGCTTGATATCCTGTTACCTAAAAAAAAAAATCCCTCTGATCTGGGCATAAGATGATACCTACGTTTGTTCCCTACATGGTTAGGTGAGAGCTCTACAAAAGCATAGTTAAAATTCCTTTTTTCATTTTGTCACCATGACACAGAAAAGTGTAAGAGACACTAAACTGAGATGTTTTGTGGTTCACTTCAAGACTGCCAGCTTGTGTTTTGTAGGTAACCTATATGTCAGTGTTCAACTTAGCCTATACAGCTGATTGGCAGAAAAGCAACACAGTGTGTAGCAACATGAAGAGATACTCTGACCACCACTGTTACAGGTTTATGCACCAGCACTGAGCTTTAAGAAAGTTTGTCAGGATTTTGTTTGCTGTTAGAGCAGGATAACGCTTTGGCAAAAGGCAGAGCTAAGATAGAGCTTAAATTTAGCCTCATGTAATAATATAAATAATAGTAGATTTCAGGAAGAACCCCTCCCCTCTGCTGCCTCTGACCAGCAAAGATAGGTGGAGAGGGCTGACAGCCACAGGTTCCTGGGCCTGCAGGTGACACCTGACCTGAGCTGGTCACTGAACACAGCTGCCACAGTGAAGAAAGCCCAGGAATGGCTATACCTTATCAGGCAGCTCAGGGAAGCTGGGCTGAACCGTCACCCCCTCACCCAGGCTTATAGAGGACTGGTAGAGCGTGTCCTCACCACTGGCATCACAATCTGGTATGGCAACACCACACAGGCAGAGAGGAAGGTTCTTCAAAGGGTCATAAAGACTGCAGAGGATCACTGGGACTGAACTGCCTACTATGAACACAATATACACACAGCGCTGTCGCAAAAGATAAGAGACCCTACTTCACCCAGCTCACACTCTGCTCAGACACAAAAACTGCACCTACAGCCTCAGGCACAGCAGGCCGGACAGTATCATCACACACAGAATTAGACTTTACAACAGCTTTTTCCCTGCTGCAGTAAGACTGGTGGCAAATACAAAACGTGAAAAACCTCATTACACAATTCCACCAGGTGCAATATCATGTGCAATATTTGAAACTACCCATTTTACCTGCTACCTTATTCCTGTATCCACAATTTTATCAACTATTTTGTACTCTTGGGTAAACTTATATTTAGACCAGGTGTTCGTTCTTTTGGCTTTAAACTCTTTACTTGACTCAAGGAGAGCCATGCACAGAGAATTCCTATATGCCTAGACTGTCTATGCATAAATGGCAAATAAAATCTTGAATATTGAATGTAATTTGGTAAATTACTACTAGTAGTAAGCCCGTGAAGCGCGCAGGCAAGCGTCATTCTAAATATGTGAAATGTGGATACCATGAGGTTGGCAATGAATACTGTTAATCTAAAAACACTGTTAAGAATTTCACAAGCGTTTCTACTTCGCCGTAAACACGTAAACCCCGACGGTTGTACTCACCCGTGTGGCTAGACCGCAGTTATTCTTGTGGTGACAGTCCTTTTGCTCGAGGCGAGAACTCGTGCAATAGTATTTCTGCTTCAAGAGCCAGTCGTCGATTCCCTTCCTCGCCAAACAGGCATTGACTACAAAACTGTCGCCTGAAACAAAGGAAGGCATTAACAGCAGCTACACTCATGTTTTCCTAAACCCATCTTCAAAGAGTCGGACTCGCCGTAATGCTGCCCTAATGAGCTGAGCGCCGAGTCGGTGACCTGCTCTGCTGTTCACAAACTGACCGAAATATATTTGGATATTACCTTCGAGGGAAAAAGAATACGTGCGCTTACCTTCTGGACTCTCCCTTGGTTTACAAATAGCGGCTTGAGAGAGGGAAATAAAGAAAGACAGTTGGCAATGAATACTGTTAATCTAAAGTATCGTAACACAACGGGATGAACTACAGATGTCATTTTCTCTCAGAAATAAGAAACCTTACCATGTTTCGAGTGCAGTTTACCCATTTCTATGCATCGAGTTGGAGTTGAAAACGTTCAGATGAATATAATCCAAAGAAAAACAAGTTTCAATATCCAGACAGAGGAGCGTCCGTGAAGACCGAGAGCACAGTGCGCTCAGTGCAGGACTGTACGACTGGAGAGCCGTCACTGAGAGGACGCACACACATACACACATACACACACAGACCCACAAGGAAATACACGACTTCTTGTCTACGCTTTCAGTATAAAACACTTAATTGGTTAGACGTGTTGGTTTTACAGACTAATGAAGAGCACAACGAAAATAAAGACGACATATGGCCGCTTACTGTTTTAAAAAGGAAGAACAAACAGGTCTATGTTCATAACATTTATGCTTCCTTTATAATTGTAGCCAATGACACGAAAAACATTGACCAAAATAGTTCCTTCCGCAATGATGAAGATTGCTAATTTAATATGGTAGCTGTAGTATTAGGCTACGGATGTTGTTTAACTCAGCCAGGAGCGGACCCCACAGCAACCCCTGTAGTACAATTTACACAATTTTATTCTTAGGCTAAATGTCAGCTTCCGGTGTTGGTTGACTTTTTCTGCCTCACTTAACAGAACTCATTATTTTCCAGTCTCATGTATCACTTCACATTACACAAGGGTCCAAGCCTTGCACCTCACCCTAGACTACTATGTAGACGCACTGAGCGTCTCTGAATTATTGTCAGTGGTTCCCCAAAATAGCCTGCAGGGATCCCAGGACATCAACTGGTCAACCACCTTAGCTCCAAATCACACCATGTTTTTTGTAATATTTTAATGGAGAACTAATAAAAATAAGCAAAACGTCACAGAAATTAGTTTGAAAGTTGAAAAAGGTTTGCCTCAGTGGAGCAGGACTGGTGGGAAGATTAAATTACCTGCATCTACCATCATAAATCAAAGTCAAAGTGTTTATTGTCATACAGTATGTACAGTAAGGAAACATGTTTCCCTGCACAGTGACGTTCTTCCTTTGCTGTCCACAATGAATGCCAAACAATATAGATTCTAAATATAAAATAAAAATAGATTAATAATAATACAAAATAAAGGCACTATAAAAACAGCAAGTGAAAAATCTAATAAAAAAATAATAAAAGTATATGCTACAGTTAGCTGTGCAACAGTCAAGCAATGAATGTACAATTATGCATGTGCAAACTGAGAATATAAAAAGTATGTGTACGTACAGCTGTTTAGGAGTCTGATGGCTGTGGGAAAGAAAGAGTTTTTCAGTCTAGAAATCCTGAATTTCACACTTCTGTACCTCTGGCCTGAAGGTAGGGGTGTGAACAGTCGATGTTGGGGATGGGTGAGGATGGAGACAGTTCTCCTGCAGACTCTGCAGTGATAAATGTTCTGCAGAGAGGGCAGTGGGGTCCTGGTGATCTTCTCAGCAGTCTTTACCACTCTCTGCAGGGGCTTGTGGTCCATAACGGTAGTGCTGCCATACAAGGTTCAAGGATTTTATTATCAATTCACCATATGTGCAGGACATACAGAAAATGTTATGATTCCGCGTCGCTTCCTGTATTTATGTGTCTGTTTGCTCTGTCTCTCCGCACTGTTCTGCCACCGTAGTCAGTCACCATGTCATTCACCTGTTGCTCGTTGTCTCCCGGTCCTGCCTCATACATGGTCACCCTGTTTCCCACTGATTCGCTGCTGGTTCATTACTCTATTCCACACTATGTTACATTACTCGATGTTACATTAGGTACTCTTCGTTGTTGCTACTCTTTGATTCTTTCATGTCTGATACTGTCATGTTTCTGCTCTACGCGACTCTTTGTTCCAGTCCCGCTGCTACCCTCTGGTTCCTGTGTCCCTCCTGCCCATTCTCTGGTTCCTGCATCCCTCCGGCTGGTTCACCTGCCCGTCCTCTGGTTCTTGCATCCCTCCTGCCAGCTCACATTCCCATCCCCTGGTTCCTGCATTCCTCCTGCCCATCCTCTGGTTCCTGCATCCCTCCTGCCTGTGCTCTGATTCCTGCATCCCTCCTGCTGGCTCACCTGCCCATCCTCTGTTTCCTGTGTTCCTCCTGCCCGTCCCCTTGTTCCTGCGTTCCTCCTGCCCGTTGTCTGGTTCTTGCATCCCTCCTGCCGGCTGCCTTGCCCGTCCTCTGGTTCCTACATCCCTCCTGCTGGCTCACCTGCCCGTCCTCTGGTTCCTGCGTCCCTCCTGCCTGTTTGCTTGACACCTGCTACTCTGCTTACCCGACTGCTTGACACCTGCTACTCTGCTTACCCGACTGCGACGGTTACTCTGCTTTATCTGACTGCTTGACATCTACTGGTCCTCTGGTTCCTGCATCCCTCCCATCAGCTAACCTACTGGTCCTCTGGTTCCGGCGTCCGTACTGCCTGTCCTCTGGTTCCAGGATCCCTCCTGCTCACCTGCCCGTCGTCTGGTTCCGGCGTCCCTCCTGCCAGCTCACCTGCCTGTCCTTTGGTTCCTGCGTCCTTCCTGCTGTCCTCTGGTTCCTGCATCCCTCTTGCCGGCTCACCTGCTCGTCCTCTAGTTCCTGCGCCCCTCCTGCTCGTCCTCTGGTTCCAGCATCCCTCCTGCTGGCTCACCTGCCTGTCCTCTGGTTCTTGCATCCCTCCTGCTAGCTCAAATTCCCATCCTCTGGTTCCTGCATCCCTCTTGCCTGTCCTCTAGTTCCTGTGTCCCTCTGGTTCCTGCATCCCTCCTGCTGGCTCACCTGCCCGTCCTCTGGTTTCTGTGTTCCTCCTGCCTGTCCTCTACTTCCTGTGTCCCTCTGGTTCCTGCATCCCTCTTGCCGGCTCACCTGCTCGTCCTCTAGTTCCTGCGTCCCTCCTGCTCGTCCTCTGGTTCCAGCATCCCTCCTGCCGGCTCACCTGCCTGTCCTCTGGTTCCTGCTTTTTCCCCTGCCAGCTCACTTGCCCTTCCTCTGATTCCTGCATCCCTCCTGCCGGCTCACCTGCCCGTCCTCTGGTTCTTGCATCCCTCTTGCTGGCTCACCTGCCCGTCCTCTGGTTTCTGTGTTCCTCTGGTTCCTGCATAGCATCCCTCCTGCCGGCTCACCCCCGTCCTCTGGTTCCTGCATCCCTCCTGCTGGCTCACCTGCCCGTCCTCTGGTTCCTGTGTCCCTCCTGCCCGTCCTCTGATTCCAGCATCCCGCCTGCCGGCTTACCTGCCCTTCCTCTGGTTCCTGAGTCCCTCCTGCCAGCTCACCTGCCCGTCCTCTGGTTCCTGCGTCTTTCCTGCCAGCTCACCTGCCCGCCCTCTGGTTCCTACATCCGTCCTGCTGGCTCACCTGCACATCCTCTGGTTCCTGCGTCCCTCCTGCCAGCTCACTTGCCCCTCCTCTGGTTCCTCCATCCCT